AATGCAACGTCCAAATTATGCAACGTAGAATCAAGCGATTGCAAACCCAATCGTTCAATTGACTCCGATTATGTTAATGTGGAGTTGCTGAGCGAAATCAACTCCGTCCTTACCGACGAGTCGCCAGAATGGCATGACACCAAATTGTTCTGCAGAATTGAAGTGTGGATCGGCAGTCGATCCTTAATTTGGGTCCAGCCTTGACAAGCCCTTCGTAAAATTTTTTTGGTCATTTTAACAGATCTTTTACCGGCCATTTGATCCTGCTTTCACCGCTTTTAGGCAGGATCGGTTAACCAACTTAAAGATATTGAGGCACCACTGAACCACCAGTAAATTCGCGTCAGTGAGTATCGAAAGATTCGACCAGACAAAACTTGGAGCGATCCGTCAACAATTTTTGGAAGCACCCGTATCGTTTTAACTTTTAATATCGAGCCGCAGGATGCAGATCCCTGCCAGTTGCCTCGAGCCAGAACTAAACTCTAGCAAAAGCTACACTCCGTTGCAGGACCTATGGTGGTTGCTGGAGCTGTACAACATAATTATCTCTCTCAAGAAGACGTGGTCGCAACTCATAGCAGCAAAAAGCCGCCCGTCGGGAAGTGCAAAACCTGGGTAACTGTGATACGACATCGAGAGACGACTCTCAAATCCCGCATGAAGACTCGAGTTGAAGCAGACCAGCTACAAATAACTGCAGACAAATGGCTTTAATAACTGGTAGATCAGTGATTCGAGAAGTTGTTTTCCTAAACTCGACCGGAGTAGACAAAAATCGTCCGAGCATTGACACATCAGATCCACATATCGCCGACGCCAACAACCACAATAATTGTCAATGAGCTGAAACCTCCACACAGACAAAACCGCAAACAGAAAGAATGGCTTGCAAACCAAACCAGCTGCACCTATGGGGTGCCCCAGCCTATCTCGATATCAAAACCTCAGAGGCAGTGGAGAAAAAACGAAATTGAAGCAGATCACACGGCTATCTCTGGCCCCCCCCCCCCCAACACCCTAAAAGGAAGAAGCCATCAGGCGGGAAGACAGGCAATAGTCCTCCACATGGTGTTTATGTAGTATGGGGTCTCTGTACCACACGGCTTTGAAATTCCGCGCTTACATTTAAACAGGCCTACCTGCCGGTCCATGCAATACCCACACCTATCTGGAAAACAAGATACCAGCATCGTGCAGAACATGTGGCAAAGAGCATCTCATGAAAACGAGGGCCCTGAAAATATTTGCCACCAATGACGAACCCTCATGCGCGGAAACTACAGTTCAATAGCCGGAATGAGGTGAAAGCAATAAAGGCCACCCCCTTGGACGGCTCCAACTATCCTTGCTTAACGGTAGAATGCCAGATTTGGCACTGCGATACGGATATCGTTCAAAGCATCCGTTACCTGTCCTGAAGTGACGGCAAGTCGTCGTTCCCATTCCCACAGGCAAGGTAGAAAAGAACAAAACCTACCCGGGAGACCCTAGGTATGCTAACCAGGATAGTTACCTAAGTCTACAGCCTGCTGGCTAAGGGTGGAAAATCGACACTATCGGCGATTGATTACGGGTTGCGAAGCCACTGTGCCACCGAATACGGCACGAAAAGACCACCACAGCCAGATAGCCCCGCCACTAAACGCAAAAAATTGAGTGTTAAATATTCACTGTATGCTTTGTCAAATGCAAACCGCCATTTTAAACAAATTCTCGCGTATCTGCTCCTGCTTTTATTCATCACCGGAACCGAATTTCGTTGTTTCGAATCTTCCGCATGCCAGTACGCGCAAGAAAATCAAGAGCCACTGTTGTTTAACTGCAGTGGCTCTGACATCTCAAAATCATGGACTCGAATGGGTTTTGTAAAAGTTGGTTTTGCATTCATTTTTTCATGTTGTGTGACTGCCAGTTACTTTATCGTTTTCCGTCGTAAGTAGTACCTTATCGGTTATTATCATAATTACTTTATCATTTTCCGCCACCACTTACCCTTGTTTTTTCGCTTTTACTTGATTAACCACTTTTTGTTACTTGAATCATAATTTTAAATTTAACTGCCTTAAGCCTGCGCTTTCCGCGCAGTGAAGGCCAACTACTCTCCTTATCTCTTGCAGTCACAGCAGAAACGCATCCCACTGAGTGGAATAGTGTTTCTTCTATATTGTATTGAAATAAGGATATGTTTTATTTTCGTTTCATTTTTTTGCTTCGCGACTCTCTTTGCTCTTTCGGGACCATCCCTTATGCCGCCAGGTGTAGCATTGTTTCTCGGCTGGTTGCGGCCGTCAAGTTGAAGAGCTGGCACAAAATCTTAAAACATGCAGGTCAGCACTCCCTGTGACTATGATGCTTTTGGCTGCTATCCCAAGACCGGCTTGCGCTAAGCCAGCTGTGCTCCGGCTGTCCACTACCCCTTTGGAGCTAAGCGCTCCAAAGGGTTTCTCAGTGTTCCGATTTTTCTCTGTGCTCCGACTGTCCACTACCCCTTTGGAGCTAAGCGCGTTATGTCAGACTGCCAACCCGTTCTCGACTGCCTACTCTTTCCTGCGTGCAAAAACCGGCTTTGCTATTCTCCAAAACATTCCATTCGGCCGACCGCACTCAGAAACAAAATCTGAATGTTATAAGTCCCCATGCCGCTAAGTTACCTGTCAGTACTGGTGGTCGTGTCCGTGGACGTCAATGTCGTGTCAGTGTGCTGACCTCACTAAGCCGGCTATGACCCGGTGTGACCCGGTAGCCTGAACATGTTTAATTTGAAAAATAATTATCGCTACTTCTGCACAGATAGACATCTGTTTAATAATCGCTTTTTAGTTTTTGTCTATAACAAACAGACAAGTTTGCATGTTGCCAGAATTGTATGTGATCATTTATCGGGTTTTGCTGTGGGTTCTTATTAAAAATTTACAGCAGACTTCATTACCTAATAAAAGGATGTACCCTTCTATACCCTATTTATACCCAATAAAAGGATGTAGAAACAAATACGGTCGTCTTATTCCGAAAGTCGGTGCCAGGACCGACATAGTATAGGACGTCTGACGTAAACAGCTTACTGATATTTCCCAGCATATGATGCAGCTGGGAACGGTAAGACAGACCCCCGCATGTTTACTGTTGTTGGTGTTTTATCCAAAGAAGTTTTTGCACAGAAAAGTCTTGCACGCTCGCTCGCTTGCACTAAGGGCGGTTACGACCTTCTATACTAGTGATAAAAATTCATCTTAGCAAAGACTAACTGCATGCAAGAATACCATGTGAGATATGATATGCGCCATTGAGGAACGCCAGCATAGAACTTCAGCCGCTGTCCGTCAGACGCCTAAAGCAAAAGGCCCAGATTGGTTATTATGGAAAAGGTAGCGGTGAAGAACATTAGCCATTTGTAAATTTTACAAATGGTTAATGTTATTCTCCGCTTCCGGATATTTAGTATAATCGATAATTCTTGCATGCTGCGTCAGACATTAAAACCGTGTCCTAGTTATTAAACGCGGGCAGATGCCGGTGACCTTTTGCTGGTGCTGCGTAGAAGACGACTCCGCCGGTTCGTATTCTCGCATTTAAAAGATGTCTTTATTTGCTGAAGATGAAGGGGCACATGGACGTTTTTCGGCAAAGATCTCGTCGTATGTTGCGTAGCTCAAGATGGGTGATGATTTTCGGCATTTCATACCAAGCAAGAACACAAAAATATGAGCACCCCGTAAAGGACGACTGCGGCGGTCGTAAGCTCCAGTGTGTTCATGTGTTTTGAGTTAGACCGCCGTACAATACGTATTTCTACCATACAGTTTCTATTTCTACCGACAAAAGAAAATCCGGATGCTGCTAGCACGATATCGCGGCACCAGCAAACAGGCGCTCGTTAGTGTACCGCTGTGCGTGCACACCACCTGGCAAAAACGTTCTGCTATGTCTGCGGCAAGGATAATTTTATAACAATCAGAATGTGGGCAACCCCGATTTGCTTGCGCTAGAGTCAACATTGCATTTTGGCGGCTTTTCGTAAACTTCGTTACTAAAAGCTTCCAAACTGCAAAGTTGACTCTTCCGTTTCCGAAAACCATGTAAGTGCGGCAGTAGTACAGCCGTGTAGAAAAGCGAAATTCAACAGCACTGTGTAGGAAAGTGGAAAAAAGGTGGGATACCAGATCCATAGCAAACGCTTCGATGCCAAACGAGGCGGACCGCAACAAATCGTCACAAAACAGAATAGTGTTTTGATAACTAAACCGAAATTCATGATGACTTGTTGAAGCTCTACCAAATGTCAATTTTATCAAGCGAACGCTACACGGTGCGGTTGAATTGACTGCAACTATGTATAAACCGAACGTCCGACAAATCGAGCTAGAAACTGAATACGCTGAAATTCCGGGTCTGGTGCCAAAAGACGTTTGTAATGGGTCGCATCAGTCGTCACTCTATTGCAAGCTCAGGTGTACTTAACAAAGGTAAAGTATTCCCTGGTTGGAAACCAGGGGATCCTTTTCCTCTATAAGCCAGTTTGAAATTGCTTCGCTTGATTTTACCGTGGCACTTATCGATATCGTACCGTTCGAAACGCATGGCACTGTACAGTTGAAGAACCTTAATAGTTAATAGCGTCGTTACGGTATTTATAGCGCGGCAACACTGGCGCACATTTGCACAGTAATGTAAATGGATGTATGGTATGCACTAGGGAATTAACGGACAGCGTATGCTCCAGAAAGAAAAATAAAGTTTTGAAGTGGTTATTTTGCCGCAGTATGATTCAAAACGAAAATAGCAACTTCGTTAACTAGACTGCACTTTTTTGGACAGACTCAACTGATTAAAGATTTCGTTAGGGTAATCAGGTTTTGCCCCGTGACTTATAAATGTGAAACGAAGTGGATGCTGTAATGGGCATAATATTTTTACTCTGCTATGACTTCGCTGTTAAACGGTACGGCCTTTGTACTTCGTACGAAAATGAAAAGGCAGAAAAATTCGAATATTATTTTTATACAGTAATCAGTTACAAGGAAAGTCCGGATACCACGTCTTCCAGAATGGTAAAACAATTTAAATAAATTACGTTCTTGACACTTTTACTTTGCCAACAATGTCGAGAAGAAGTATTTTGAGATCGTACAGGTTTGGCTCATAGTTATCAATCACATAAACTATTCCGGCATCCATTCCATGTGGCGCAACCATTTCGCCAATGTACCCCGTCCGCTGTGCGTTGAAGACCTCGGTGCGACTGTAGTTCTTTAACTTATCCGACGCTGCTTTCGCCTTTAAAATCTCCTCCGTGGCAAACGGCTTCACGAAATAAACAGCGTCACATTGTTTCCGCAACGCAATATACCAATCAAGTTCTTCTTTAGAAATCTGTTGTGCGGCTAACACTATCAAAGCGGTATTGGCAGTATTCTTCACAATAACATCGCTTGGCGTTTCTTCTACAAACGAGAAATCCACTCCTGTCTCCTTCGCCATTTTGGATAAATTATGGATCAGACTGGATTTCCCCGAACCGCGTTTTCCAATAACAAGGACATTTTTCGCTACGGCAACTGCTTGTTTCGGCTGCGAACTCGACGGTTTGCTGGGTATTTGAATAATATCATCCAACACTGCGTTCCGCAACAGACGAAACTCGTATTCTGTGACCTTTCGGTTCTCCACCATGAACATCTGTTCGTCGTGTAATTCCCTGGGAAATCGGATTTTTAGGTCATTCTTGAAGTCCTTCATAATCTTCCCGTGCGTCTCGATACATCCATCCAGAATGCGGTTCTCGATATCGTAGGCGATTTTTGTCCGTACAAAATAAATACTCTTCGCATCGCGCACCAAGGTTTTGGCGGCTGCATAGTGCTTTGTGGAGAAATGCGTCGAACTGACTATGATGCAAGCAGCGGAGCGGGCTGACGGCGCTGTTTGCTCCGCTGTAACGTGCTTAATCTCCCAGAAGCGAATTGTTAAACCGCGGATCGCGTATTTGTAGCATTCGGTGTCGTCGCTACCAAAATGGCCAATCGGAGCCGATCCGGCGTCATTCGGCTTCAAACCGCGTAAATTGTTTATCAGGAAGGACTTGCCGCTTCCTCTCGCACCGATAACGGCGACGTCGATGAACGAAGCCGGCTCCATCATGTTTGCCTGAAAATCGCATCCAAATTTAATCAAGCGAGCGAAATGACCTCTTCCAATTTTTTGTATTAATATGCGGAGAACCTTCTCGCGATTTATAAAAACTGTTTCCAAAGCTCAGTGTTTTCTGTACCTTTTGAGACCTTTGATAATTAACTACAACTTTAACTTACCGTCAACAATCCGCACTGTAAAACCTGATCAGCCGACGGTCGATGCTCCGGATTGACTTGCAAGCACTGATGCATCAAATACCGCGCACAGCTTTTAAACACTTCCGTCTGCTTGCCATCATCCAGAAATTTCTCCGGGACGAACGGCTTCCCGCCATGCCCCACAAAATACAGTATCTGCATCTCCTCCAGTTCCCGTCCGTTCTTGTAAAACTTGGGCCAGCTCCCTGTCAGCATCTCCAACAGCAGACAGCCCAGACTCCAAATATCACAGCGCCGTCCGGTGCGCTGCTCGGCGCTGATCATTTCGGGCGCCATGTAGCGCAGGGTGCCTTTAAGGTAGGAGACCTCGCCGACCTGGGTTTGCTCCTGTTCCAGCTTGATGGCCATACCAAAGTCTACAAGCTTTAGTGTACCGCGGCTTGTTAGTAAAACGTTCTCGCCTTTGAGATCCAAATGCATCACTCGGTTGTTGTGCAAGTAGCTTAAAGCGTTGGTGATTTGGCGGGTGTAATCGACGATACTATGCTGGTTAAGGCCTTCCTGGGCCTTTTTACTCAGCGTGCCACCTAAGCAAAAAATGAAGATCTTTTATTTTAATTAATCACTGTTTACTACGGTATGTACTTGTTATTTATAGATGATTAATTTGTTTTTTAACAGTAAATTAACTACTTATTATCAATGCTGGTTTGCATGTGCAGAATTGCTACCTTCGCATAATTCCATGAAGAGCCACAATTTGCACTCTCGTGTTCCTTGCAAATCCAGCGCGTAGTACCGCACCAGATTCTCATGATCCAGACTGCAGATCCGCTGGAATTCTTTCACCACCGATAATGTACGGATATTAGCGGCCGTTGCCGGTAAAACGTTATCCGGGAGCGGTATTCCGCTAGCCGGCAGGCGTATAGTACCGTCGATGTCGTACTCTTTGACGGCCAGGTCACGATCGTTGCTGATATCCCGGCACTTGCGGACCGTGCCTTGTCCGCCTCGGCCGAGCATTTCGCTCTGCACCATAACGTAGATGAAGTTTGGCAGGAGATCGAGAATCCCGAATTCCTCCAACAGCCGGTCGGAAGCATCTACCGCCAAGGTAAATAATCATTAAAGGTAAGATAAGAAAACGATACGGCGACAACTTAGACTGGTTATCTGTGCAGGCGGACAGAGTTTATGGCCCGCTGTACCAAACCGATCATTTGGCAGTCTTTTTTTTCATTTTTGGGCAGTCTTATAAATTTTTAAAATTTAAATTTTGCTTTAAAGAATAATTACTCTAAAAAATTAATAAAGTAATGGCATAACAAAACCGATTACAAAAATGATTAAATAATTTTAATTAATTAAACGACTTAATTTTATGTACTTTTAATTTAACAAGTACGCATAGTTGGTATGATTTCTGTAAGTACAGATACGTAATTTAATTTTCAATAAATGTGATTTTTTAAATTTTTGTTAAAATCTGTTTTCGCAGCGTATAGTTCTTAATAAATGGAACTAAAAACTTAAGTTTTAAGATGAATCAATATTAGTTTGTACCTCTTCCCCAAGCGAAATCCCGCCGATGCAGACTACAATAACTGTCGATACATTTTAACAATTCCGCAAAGATCTCCTTCATGGCCGTTATCTCCGGCACCTGCTGCGGACTGGCGTCCAGCTGTCTAAGGGTCGTCATTGTGGCTTTGTTAATCCCTCGCACCACCTTATCCACCGATAAGATACCGAGCTTCTCACACCACGCTAAACTCTCCGCATCCAGCCCGAGTTCATGAATTAACCGGCGCAATTCTTTAGCCACCAACTCCGTACTCAACGGCTCACTACGCAACAACACCGCCTGCCGAAAACGCTCCTGATAGCGCCCCAGCGTCTCCCCGGATTTATTCTTCAACACCAGCATCGCGTTCTTCAAGAAATTAATCGAAACCGGCTTCAGCATGACCTCCGTCATAATATCATGTAATTTTAAAAATAACAAGGGAAAATCAAACGCCCGTAAATCGGTGTTGTCCAGCATGAAAACTTTCTTATAATACAAATCCAGATAATCCGCTGGCAGGGAGTCGTTCATCCAGATATGAGCGGGGTCATCTTGCCGTAATGAATTTCTTTTCAATTTGCGGATTTCCTTCGTCTGCATTTCTTTTAATTTATCGTAGTCTTTTTTCCCGGTCTTCGTTAAAATATACAATAAATGCCCGTCAAAAATTGTCGTCACGGATAACGAACGATTCGACGAACTGCGCTGATAGTCCGCCGGCCGACACAGTAAATCCGGCGAGCGCAGATTCAACGGCGATTCCGGGGGCGTGTTTTTCGGGAACTTCCTGGAAATAAACTCCAGTTCTTTACACGCGGCCATCGGATCCTGCGGGAGTTTATACCCGGTACCGGCGCGCGACAACGTCTTTGACACATTCTCAATCGAGGCGCGATAGTGCTTTAATTCCCAGTTCATCCATTTCACCGCCATCTCGGTGCGGTCTGTAAGCGCAATGATTAAATGACAGTTGGCGGTTAGATCATCCACCAGACTGCTCTCGTCCGTTAGGTCATGCTGGATTTCGTGGAACTCCACCGGGCATGAGTACTGGCGGTCGGTGGTGACCTTGCGGAGGACTCCGGCAAAGGAGGATTTCCCCACGTGGGCGGGGCCTAGGATGGCGATGCGGAAAGCTTTGCTGGCGTTGCCGCCGCGCCGGTTGGCGTACTCCTCGAGGATGTTGGACAGTTTCGGCGTGCCGGTGTAGTCGAAGCTAGTCTGGAAGCGTCCGAAGGTGTCCGCCTGCGGGGGTGTATGGGGCGATGTGGTGGACTCATGGTTGCCCATTTCCGGAGGCGGGAAATATATAACCGAATTTTTCTTCAACCACTCACTGTTGTTTATTGCATCATTCACTCACACAACCGGTAACAATAATTTTTAAGTGCATTAAAAATTATTTCAAGAACATGAATTATACCGTACATTACATAAAAACGTTATAATCCAAACCAGCCAGCTGACAAGATATATGATTCTCGACAGTAAATTTCCCGCATGATATTTTTGCGTAACGTAACGCTATTATCCATGCAGAATGGGAAATGGCATGATTAATTCAAAAGTGCAGAAGTAAAGATGCACTTAAGGTTAAGGAATTATTTCAGAGAACATCACGCGATAGCCAAATTCAACCAAGCGACGGAAAATAATACTGCACAGAAATATGCGGATTTTCTTGGAACGCAGCAATGTTCTGATAACGTTATCACGGTCAAGTAAAGTTAATGGTAAAAATACCAGCCGCTTCCGGTTGTCTGTGTTCTTAGGTGAATGTAATCGACCAAGAGAACGTACGTTTGTTGGCTTCTTATTTCTTTTATCGATGAAGCGCACGCTTATCTACCGTACCGTACATTCGCTACACTGGTATTGGCCGGCCACATTTTAAGCCGGTTAATCGCCTGTTTTGGTGGTGTTATCGAAAATGCACCCCCAAAGATTTATTATCACTTCGGTCTACGCTTTAAAATAGTCAGCTGTTTATTCAATGTTTTACCACACAGCTGTATAAAACATAAGCAGGCATACAAGTCATAACACTGGCTTATCATAAGTCATAACATAACGCGACAGCTGAACCATATCTATCTATCAACGTATATAATATTATATATAAACGCTTATGCAAACTTATACTCGTATTTTCTAGTGTGAAAAACAGGTTGATACTTGACCGATGTTTTCATTCGTCGATGTTTTCTGCATTAAAAACGCTTTGTACTACATAATTTTATAATTTCGTGAAACACACTCCAGCCATATAAATTTCCTCGCATTACTTCGCACGAAAATAATTTCCACAACTGAAACAAATGAAAATTTCACAACTTTCGAGAACGTTTATTTCAGAATACAGTAGACACAAAGTGCGGGAAAAAACATAACAGTAAAAATTAATAATACCAAAACTATTTCAAATGCAAATCTTGCTATCTTTTAGAGTAGTTGTTACTGGTATAACATTCTTGGTAAAAACATGGAAGTATGTGCTAATTAAATTACGAAATCTAAAACTACTCGTCTAATACATGGTGCTGTCCAATTCCACTGCTTCCATCCGGTCAAACGCGGTCAAGCGTCGACGACGATGGCGGTTGCCGGCAGCAGAGCGCGCTGACCAGGGTGCTGCGGTACTCAGGATGCAGTGCGGCCAGGATGATGGGGTTCACGCAGACGCTGGCGGTGGCCAGAACATGGGCAGCCACCTGGATTATTACGGTGGTGGTGCGGACGGGATACACATTCATGGATTGCAACGCTAGGATGAACGTGGTTGGACCCCTACAAGCATTGCGCACAATAGTAATAACGAATTCATTGTACACTTTGATGGGCTTCGCATTCCGGACACTTTCACAATATGGATTTGGGTACCGGACACCAGAGACACGGTATTTTCGTGTTTCCGTGCATTAGAACAATTTGATTGTTTTTTGATTAATCTGGCGTGCAGTCTGTACGAGCTGGCGTAAAACCAATAATTATCATGTAATCAATTTTTGGGACATTTTTATCTGGTGGAACAACGCAGGGAATGCAGTATCTCTGGTGTTCGGTACGCGAAAACATATTGCGAGAATGTCGTAATAATTTCCAACAATTTTTTCCAAGAATTCTTTTAAAGCAATTTTTCAATTTGTTCAAAGAATAGTCTAATCTACAGTATTCGCTCGTACCAGCACACTGCAAACACCGCCGTCATAGTATAAAGAGCTCGCTTGAAGTGTTTCCCGTTTTCTCCATTGTCCCATTCGCTGCAGCACATGAATTATAAAAACTGGACAACTTGATTGTACCGCATTTGGTAGCAGTAGTTGATTTTGAAACGTCCATATCATAAAAATTGTTACCGCTACAGGCGCTACTGTGACCGTGATATTATTTTGCTGAGAGCGTTCTTACACGATAACCGCCAAGGATGCCATCAGCGCTAAGGGTAGCAGGAAGAATGTGCCGAGAAACGCCCATCTGTAATTAGAAAAAGTTCTTATACCGGTTAAACGTGAAGTTTGCTGCAGATAAACGAGCGCGCCTAGTTTTGGTTACAAATTATGGCAGCAATGTTGTTCATCACATTCACATTGTACAGACAACCTAAAGTAAGCAAAAGAAAACATACGACAACATAAAATAACAAACAAACCTAAGAATAATCTAAAGCACTAAAAAGTATGAACCTCATTGGCTCGTTCTAACGCATATTACGCAGTTAAAAGCTTCTCTGTTCAAGCCAAGCAAGTGCTGGCGATTTATGCGATGTATTCCTTTTGCACTGTTTATTGATTTGCAACTACATTATGGAAGCACGGATAGACTGACCGTTCTTGGTTATACAGTATACTTATGTGCAGCCTGTACGTACGGTACTACGCGCAAAAATAACGCCTCAAAATTCCCAATGACTTAACCGTACCTAAAGGCGTTTTCGTTGTACAGGTGATGATGGAACATGCAAGGCAGGAGTGCCTCCTCGCAAGCCGTTGCCGTCCCGATCTGTAGCACTCCGTGCGTCAGAAACAGTGGGATGTTGGTAAGCGCAATGACCGTCAAAAGAATCCCAACGCAAATGCCCATGTTACGGGTCTCATCGGCGCGAAACTCCGCAGCGAAATGCGAAAGCGATGTACCTGTATTTGACGACAGTAAACAGTGACCAAGCATTGTTACAGTTATATGTAATGTTATGAACTAGCGTAAAGCGCAAACGCTACAAGATACAATACCGAGGTGTATATTACACAGCATCAATTTTCAACGAGTACGCAAAAATACAGCCTCGATATCTTTTTTTTAGGTGGCTATTGTTCCCGGGGTCGATATTTTTCTTAAGGGTTTTGGAGGGGGTTTTATTTCGGGATGGGCTCGTAATTCGAGAAGGACCCTTTCTCACTACCCTCATTTAATGGACACGCGTTTCGTGAAAATTTTATCGGTCTTTAATCGAATGCTCGGCAGATTGCTATTGCAATCTGCAAAATATTAACGGAAGTAACAAAAACTGTTGTACAGAGTATCCGCCCGATTTTCATCACTTTCTGGTTTGGGCGCTGCCTACCCCTTGCAGGGCATTAAAAACGAGTCTTTCTCTCACCGGACAGGTCGTTTTTTGATAGAATACGATAGTTTATACGAACACCGATTACAAATTTTACTTACCAATCCACTGGTCACTCCATAAAAGCACCAGCGTATACGCTTTGGCAAAGGCGGAAGCGTATGTTACATAGTTGACGATACCACACCAGGTGTCACCAAACGACCATTGCCGCTCGACATAACTGGTGGCGGTGTATGGTATGGCGATCAAGATGTGTAGTAGATCGGTAAACTGCAATAAACTCAATACATCTCTGTCTTTATATGCGGCAACACTACATTAACAACCGAGGAAAGAACTATAATTAAAAATCAGTGGCGTCGCCGTAAATTTTGGATTTGAAAGGACGTAACGTACGCTGTACAAACGCTCCATCGCAGCTGTTTTACAATGAGCCTGTGTTACGAAATTAACTAGTTCAGTACTGGTAGAGCGTGTAAAGACCACTTGCCGCTAAACTAGCAATCAATAAGTTCGTGCTGGTAGAAACCGGTCGGTTGTCTTTGCGTAATGCGGCGATCAGGACGAGAATATTGCCAAAACACCCGATGACCACAATCAATCCAAATAACGCCTGGAAAGAACGTAGTAATAAATGGCTTTTAAAAGCATTAATCCTTTTCTGTAATCACACTGCGCAATACATTAAGTAAATACGGAAGGTTGCTCCCAGCTGCCATTTTTACTACAACATTCGTGCTTGTTTTTTATACCGGGACCGTGCCAGCGAGCGCCTTGCGCACGCTCTGATCGTCATTGTACTCCGAGTACCCGGTTGTGCACTCTTCTTCCACGGGAACAGCCATGTCTTGGTGATTGACCGTTGCAAAAACCTGTTTTTTTAATATATAGACGCGCCTATTGAAACGCTTATTTAAAAGCCTGCTTATTTACTAGCGAAATTCTGAAAACGGTGCAAAAGAAAAATGATCATGTACGGTACAGTACTTTTCCTGTCTACGACCATGTGAATTCACAGCTTGTCGGCATACTTGTACGGATCATTGAGCCAGAAGCCGGTATTCATTTTCTCCGAGAAACTGCTGCCCCAGTTCTATCACTATAAGCAACTGCATGCACCCAGTAAGGACGGGAGTGGACTTTAGCCGCGATGACGATCTGTTTCAGCCCGCTTTGGATGTTTTTGTGTAAGCCTGCCGGTGCGGTGACTAATCTAGTCTACAGGCAGCGCTAAAATAATTAAAAATTAGTTACTGTAACCGATTTTTGGGTGGGTGACATCGGGAATTTTGTGCGCAAGCGTGTACATTGTCATCAATCTAAAACAATTGAAAGTTATGTATCAGATTATTAATATTCGCAATATGTATGCCGGTCTGTGTGTCAATGGATAAACACTACTTCTACTTATAAGCAGGTTGTTCTCAAGTGGTGTGAATGCTTCTTTAATCTTTATGGACACCACGATGTATCAGATCAACAGCCATAGATTTCGTATTTAGCTAGGTGTTTACTTCCATATTTATATTCGCTGTGGAATATTTTATCAGAAACACTGAGCTTGCTTTATTAACACCTACAGAGTACGGCTAAGTACTTCAACAATGACAGCTAGAACTCAGCCTCGAAGTACTGACACTGAATCTGATATACCAAGATTTGCATTTCAAACAGTTTTAAGCATCATTAATTTTTACTGTAATTTTTACTGTTGTTTTTTTTAATTTTTACTATTTTTTTAAATTTGTACTGTTTTTTTACCGCACTTTATGTGTAGTGCATTCTGGATTAGACTAATAATTCTAGTTCATCCTGCTTCAGTTTTTGTAGAATCCATTCAGAGTTGCAAAGGTCACGTTGCAGTTAAAGAATCGATATCGAGTTGGCAGATTCCAATCAGTGTGGATTGTCATCCTGGCTAAGACTATTGAACCTGCATGAGTTCCACTGATTTCGTCCGGCCAAACTGATCCCGGTCGGCCGCCGACGATGATGGCGGCTGCCGGCAGCATAGCGCGCTGCGGTATTCAGGATGCATTGCGGCGAAAATGATGGCCAGGGTTCTGACAGACGCTGGCGTTGGTCAGGACATGGGCAGCTACTTGGATTATTACGCTGCTGGTGCATCCGGAATACACGTTCATGAATTGCAGTGCTACCTATAATTAACGTGATGGGGCCCCTGCAAGCATTGCAACATTAGAGGTACCGGCTTGATCGTAAGCCTTCGCAAACATGTTTATACGCGCCCAACTGTTGGGTAAAATCGCTGTTTTTAATGCTAGTTCAACCTATGGATCACTTTATTATGTATAAAAAAGTAGGCATCCGGCTTTTTACGCTCGCAAAACTTAAACCAACCATAATTGCCCGATAAGTTTTTAAACGGCAGCATACGAGTAATATATTTGGCCGTACCAGCATACGCCAAACAACGCCGTCAGAGGGAAAGTATTTTCCATTTTCGATGGTCAAGCATCAACATCCCATTCACTGCAGCGACACCTGTTATATAAAAACCAGACGGCTGTGCAGTTTCCAAGTTGTTGTCTCGCATTCGGCACCAATAAATTAATAACTGATTGTTAAACTTCGATGTAATAACGAAAAAAACTGCCATGATTCTATTTTTCTAAGAGAGTTTTTAATACTTCTTACACGATAAACCCCAAGGATACCATCAGCGCTAGGGGCAACAGGAAGAATGTGCCGAGAAACAGCCATCTGCATTTAGAAAAAATATTCGCACAGTATACAGAAAAGGGCGCGTATTTTGGTACACAAATCATGACAACAAGGTTCTTCGTCACATAAGAAATGTATAGGTAACCCGAAGAAAACATGATTTAACAGAAGAAAAACCAGAAGAAAACTTAAGATCTGTAGGAATGATCTGTAAGATTTATGCGCACTGAACGTGCTCCTGTTGCACGGTTTGTTGATTTAGTTACTACATATTAAAAGCGCGGACCGATAGAACGTTTTTTAGTCCTACACTGCATTCACGTACGTACGTATAAACAGCGTAATTTTACGCGCAAAACAACGTCTTAAAATTCGCACCGACCTAACCTAACAGGAAGGTGTTTCCGTTGTACTGGTGATGACGGAACATGACAGGCACGAGCGCCATCTCGCAAGCCGTTGTGGGCCCGATCTTAAGCACTCCATGTGACAGGAGCAAAGGGAAGTTGGTAATCGCGATGACCGTCAAAAGAATTCCAACACAAATGCTCCTGTTTCGGAGGTCTCATTGGCGCGAAACTTTTTGGGGCATGGCGAACGCGATAAACCTATACGTGATCATAGTGCACAGTGACAAGAGGGTTGGACGGAAAATCCGATCAAATGGTCGGAGCTGATCATCATCGGCGCTAAACCTTACTTTGACATACGTGTACGACTATTGCCGTTGCTGTAGGAGTGCGAGAGAAATGATGAACATTCCACTCTTGTGCATTCATTCAGCGGAAATTCAGTGGAATGTTCATTCACTGGAATTAAGTGGAATAGTCATTCATTCCTCTCGCACACCTACTGTAGAGCAACGGCAATGGTACGACAATTCAGTAAACCCCAATCAATCTTATTAATGTGGTATTTATTAACGCAGTATGAGCGGGGAAATTTATGTGGTGGGTGTGTTTAGCAAACCCATATAATAAAGACGCTTCAAATGCGAAAACCAGCGAAGTAGCATATTTAGGAAATAATCCGTTTTTTTTCTAGTACTTGAAAACGCTTCCCGGGATCTTGAAAATCATTGAATTGGTGAGAATATCTTTACAATTGTGCAGAATGAAGCCTACGTATTAAAATGTAGCGTTAACTGATATTGGTGGAGGTCAATTACATTTGGGTAACTGTTGCGCGTCGGGTAATGGAGAGACGCGTAAAAAATTAGCCATGACTCAGCAGAAAAACAATCGTCCAATCGTGAGTCGAGTACGCTTCCGTGCCAAGAAAGAAATTGAACACCGACGTGGAACTGAAAAACTCATTCTTAATGCTGCAATGTGGTAAATGTGATTTTACGTCAAAAAAGTTAATTATGAGTTTTGGAATGTGACTCTGGGTCGTTGGGTTTACTTTTGGTCCAAACACACACAAATTTTGTTGATCTGTGCAGGAGAGTTACGAGTTACTCGTAGTTTGGGTAATGGTTGCGCTTCGACGTCGAAGCGCAACGCTTACGCGGACAAGTAAGCTGAAAACCCATCCCAGATTTTGTGACGGCGAATCAGAATGTTTGCTTGGTTACGCGCTGTTACGTCACATTTTTTACGCGTTTTCCCGTTACCCGACGCGCAACGCTTACCCAAATGTAATTGACCTCCACCATTGTTGATGCATGCATTTTCCAAAACGTAGCATATACTACACATTTCACACAAGTTCAGCATTTCTGGTATTTTTTTTTTGCGTGCGGCTGTAGGTGTGCACAGCGGTTGCGCTCGGAGTGTGTGTAACTTCGTGGTCATCGAACTGGCTATCGGGAATATGGTATGGCAAGTACAGTTTTAAGTCTGCAGTGGGAATGCAAGTTACTATCGCCATCACCTTCAGTACAACTCTTATACTTCTCCTTCTGCATCTGTTTCACCTTACGGAAACATTTTATGCACTTCCCTGGATCCGAATCGTAAGAATACTTTAGAAGAGATCGTTGCATTCGAAGCATATCGTACAGAATTTTGTTTACTTTTTGTGTATAAGGAAGTCTGATCGGGCAGGAGCTTTACTAGGTACATTAGTACAATAAATTGCAGTTCTGTGCCGTTTTAGCAGTTATTCCTATGACGGAATTTACAACGTGGCATGCGTGCGTTTTGGAATAAGGCGTGACCGTTTATCATTTTTCAGGAAATGGTATACTTCATACTGGCAGTTCTCTGTTCGCTGTCCTCCGGAGCAATTATGATACCATACGCCGACTATTTAGATGCCAGCCGAGGGGTGTGCGTGGTCAGTTGTAATTTCAGTATTGTTACATCAGTTTATTACTGGGGTTCTTCATTTGCTGTTTAGTTTTTCTGTTGGGCAGCGATGATTATGTACGCAGCAGACGCCTTTCTTCAGTGCAGAAGATGCCATGCAGATACCTTCTCCCAGTCCAAGGTAGGGTGGTTCAATAAGCCATAAAAACCCAATAAAAACACTTTAATGTCGGCCATTAAGCAATAACAAGCCTGCCATTCGCACCCGTTATATGGTTTTCATGCCCGGTTAATGTAACGCAGAAACTAGAATTTTACAACGAGTTTCCCGTGTTTAATTGTAGATCAAGGAAGAAATCAAAACGGAGCATACTGACTACTCGAAAAGCGATTCAGTAGATAGTCGACACTAATGCGCCTTCCGTGTTCTGGAAAATGGATTCAACAATCTATACAGCGACCTACTGATAAACTAGA